CGCCAGCTCCACCCGCCCCGCCAGCTCCACCCGCCCCGCTCGCTCCTCCCGCTCCGCCTAAACCTCCCGGCCGCCCGCCCAGGCCCTCGCCTGCTACAGTAATGTGCACTCTCCTAATACCCCAAACTATTTCGAATACATTATTGCTAGATATTGAGATCATCCTGTATTGTATAGACTTGAAGTGTACATTAATCTGTATTGCAAGGGTAATTCGTGTTGTAATGAAGTAGAGGAACTTGTTGGTTAGATGAGCAGAAACATATTGTAATAGACTAGACATAGTTGGTGTAATACTAGAGAGTAGATCGCCATATAATCATTTGAGTGAACTATTCGAATGTACAACTAATGAATACTTATCTGGTTATAGCCGTGACACGGCGCGCCACACGAACATAAGAGTCTTGTATACTACTGCGATGTGTTCAATGTACGGACGAGTGCAGGTCAGATGTCAGTCTTTCCGTCTATAGAGGCAGGTGTAGTTAGAGACAGATCTCGTACTTAGTCGATAGAATGTTTGCCCTTCTCTTCAAATTTTCCTATTGACTTTTCAGGAAATGAGTCTATTAAGTTTTTCGAAAACCGATGACTGTTGTATTATGTTGGCGTGGAAAAATGCTGTTTTGTTCGTTTCGAGATCGCGTATAGACAAACATACTGTAAGGCACCCTCCAGCTTGTGGTTAAATGAGATCAAGCTTAATGGTGTCCTATTGAAAAGGACGGAAACAAAGTCGTATACTATGTTGCAATCGTAATGAAAATGTATGTGTCTCGTTCCAGCATCCACAACTCCATGTTCAAGTCGATGACAGAGGCCGTGCGTGAGAGCGAGATAAAGCAGCGCGACCCCAGCGCACTGCTCACTCACCCCAGACACTCGTAAGTACCGCCCTATCTTCGAAATATCGATATATCGACACGTGTTCTGAGCCCCGCACTAGAATCTGTGAAAATGCTTTATCGTATTTGTAAAGTTGAACAAAAAAACTAAAGTTTATATTATTATCAACAAATTCTCAAACTAGATACGTACCTAGTTTGAGTATTTGTGAAAAAATATGTCCACGTCCATCTGGACTCAAAGTGTCGGATATTTTGGCCTCATTTTAAATTCTTGCTACGATAATGATTTGAAATATTGCAAGAACTGGCACTCCTAAGCTTAAATCGTTTTATTTTAATCGATTTGTTCTTATTGCAAGAAAACAAATAAGTGCCGCATATTTTTTCATGATCTAACTGACAAATAGATATATAATATAATATTGTACCTCTATATAATAGAATAGATTTTGTAAGGTTATCTCAAAAAATTTAACTAGTTTCTGATCCACCTAGCTAATCGAATTTTGAAGTAGCGTAGAGAATTGAAAAGAAAATTTGACCTTACTAGTTTTATTACAAAATTACATTTTAACCCCTTATTTATACAATAACCTTAAGCAGCACGATAAAGCATTTTTAGTAGAGACGTGCCTAGTGATTCTAGTATACGATTATATATATAACAGTCTTATAAATATGGGAGCACACACATTATATAATTGAGAATTTTTCTCGAATATTGCACGGTATCTGGTGTACGGGGACATTGCACGGGTGTTGCCAACATTTGGTTGGGGTTGCCATGGTATAAATATTTTGTTATTATACACAGAAGTCGGATGCTTGTTTTCTACTTGTGTATGTGTGTGTGATCTCAAATGATAATGCTCAAAATAGGTTTTGTTAAGTATTCGAGTTAACAGTTCAGGCTTTACATATTTTTAAATGTTTTGTTTATTATGGCTGATATTTTTTGTAAGAGAAAGAATTTATTCTGAGCATAATTGTCAAAGTTTTCGAGTCGTCAGTAGAACGACACATGATTAAACCGACAGATGTCAAATGTCAGAACAGAATGCGTGTGTTTGCGTTGTGTGCATTATTTTGGAATGAATACGACTGGACTATTGACATACTAATATTCATACCGATTTAACAGTTTGTATTGTGTATAGTATGTACGTTTATTAATATATTATAGTGCTCGGCGTGTCTGTAGTATCTACACTCACCTTATAAGACTGAATTGTAAAAATATTAGTTGACCAAATATATGAATCGAAGCTGTAGACACTACACCCCCGCCACGAGTCCCCGTATGACATTGTACACATGTATATATAGTGCCGCCGATGTCCGCCGCGCCCCGCCCTGTCCGTGCGCAGGGCGGGGCGCGGCACATGTCTGTCATCCACTGTACTTTCATCCTATGCATATGTACGTGGATACTTGTGTGTCGCTGCCGGCTGATCTCCTATATATTTACGCTTCCTCTATGTACTACACGTAAAACGATACTATATTTAGATTAGATTTTGTACTCTTCTGTAGTTCTATATTAGCTCAAATTATCTAGTGTTCCAACTATTCAATTCTGGTTAATTGTACACATGTATTGTCCTTTTATATCGCATAATATGTAGTGTGCTTGATCGAGTAGCGAGTATATAATGTATCTGTACCGCTATGTATGTATTGTCGGTGTCAGCCGGCGGCCCCTAGCCACGAGTGTAGTAGCACGCAGTCAATACATACCTATGTTACGTGTTTAGTTGCTTCGCATCGCCCCTCCCCGCACTCACTCGTACGCTCGCCACGACCTCCCGCTACTCTTTGTTACGGACACTCCGACCTCCCGGGGATCCACTACACCACGATCCTTCCCGTGGGACACGGTTTTACACGTAAAGCTAAGTAACCTAATCAAGGGATGAAGTACTGAGATAATAAGACGCTCGGTGCCTTGTGGCGGCGGAGGTCGCGGCGAGCGGGGCGGGGCGCGTGTAACGTGATGTTGTGGGGGTAGCAAGGCGCGCGGCTCCGTGGTGGGGCTGCGCTGGCGCCGCGCCGTGGCGCCCGCCTCGCCGGCGCCCCGTGCATCAGATCGCCGCCCGCACGTCGTATGACCCGCGGCCCGCGGGCCCCGAGCGCCCCGAGCGCCCCGAGCGCCCCGCGCGCTGAGGCCGCGCTAGCGCCCGCCTCCAGCTGCCGCCGCCATGCTCCTTCCCCAGATCTTCCTCCGCTATTTTTATATGCATTTATCGACGATGTCGCGATGTGATATTGTTGTAGTAGATATTAACGTTAACTTTCCGTTCCGAGGTGGGCGTACGTCCAGTACATGATAAGAATGAGACAAGGCAGTGCCGTTAGATGGTAAATATTGATATGAACAGAAGTGCTCGTACCGAGGCTCGCGTGTATAAGTACGTGCAGTAGGACTACTGCCTACTATATAGTGCTCTAGGCGAGCTCCCGAGTGCCGCTAGGTTTTGTATGCTTATCTAGTTCTTCCCATATTGAGATCATCGAAATCCTCTTACGACTTCGAGTTAATTAGTGAAAAAGTAAAATACTTTTAAGTATAGTTAGATAGTATAATGCCGCTGGGCAAAAACACATTTGTGCTCGTGTGAACTTAACGAATTCTTACTCACCCTACTAGGTATTACTATGAATTAATATTACAACAAGTATTGAATACTGCAGTAAGTCAATGATTCCTACAATAACATTCCAGTATTGTGTAGTTGTGACGAGGGAGAGACGTATGTGTGCCACAATATACGAGTTGTATACGTGTACGTAGCGTGCACTAGGAAACGAGGAATTTATGTAACAATAAGATACTCCTTGAAAAGGTTAGTTAGTGATGTACAGCATGGCGCGGCCGCCACCCGCACCGGCTCTGCAGGCCTACTACACTATGTAATCATAGTTCATTCTACTCTTTTTCTTAATTAATATATCCATGCAGATCTCTTAATTGTTAGCTTTTACAATATAATGCAATAAACAAAGCTCACTATAGCCATTATTTGATAAAAATTAATTTAAGTGTATCGTGTAATGAATTTTTGAACTAGATATTTTTATAAATTATATATTTAGATAGATCTGAATTTGATGGCCGTCCATAGTACGCCGTGGTGCCAAGTCAGTCGGTTCCTAACTGTTCCTATATTTTGACTTGTTTACTATGAAAGTATTTAATGAAGTAATGTAATCGCGAAGCCCCAAAGTAGGCGACGCAGAGCAAGGCCGGTGGGGGTGGTGTCCCGCCACATAGCTATATCGGACTATATATAGTGTAGTATATATAAATGTGAATATTTTTGTATTTGAACACGTTTGAGAGTTTTCTATGATAAGTAGGTGTAGGTACCGGCTTGTTGAGTGATCCGATCATTGTAAGTAAGTTTACACGCAGTCCTTGTTTACTGTGTTACCATTCTCACCTCAGAGTGTACATTGTTTCTCACCTATACATATTATTATACATATGTTACTGTTTTGTATTATACAAGTGTGATCTCGGAGTTTATCAGTAACTCCTGTGACTGACAAAATACACAGGAGACAACATAGCTTTCAATTGTTAATTACCTCGATAGTAATCGCTCCAACGCGTCACATTCCGTATTTGTTATGTACGCAATACTATAAAACATATCAAGAATACTTTGGACGTATAAATATCATTCCAATCATAGTCTAGTTAGATGTACAAAACTCTCGTCTCACTTCCTCCGCCTTTTAATAATGTACTATACTACTAATAATAAAAAACTTACGAATCAGTTACTTGGAGCTAATGTTAGATGATATTATTTGTTAACTTAATTTTACTAGAATAGTAAATATTGTGATAAAATACAATGAGATGTATTCGGTACTGAATCAGATATAAATATGAATTGAAATTATTTATAATATAACTAATATTGCTTTGTTACATTATTTTGTATAAAATAAATTCATGTGCAGGACATTTGTAGTTGTTGTATATAATATACAGAACCCGCGCTATTTCCCTTTGCTTCCTTTTATTCGTAGTTTTTTTTAATATTTTATTGTAAATGTCACTTCATATTGTCTCTGGTTGGTTGGCGTTGCGACTCGCTTCCTTGTATGTTGACGTTATGTGCCATATTATTTATTGTAGCACTTATTTAGAGGTACTATACATGTCTCTTGTGCTTATGAGAATTGCACAAACGTGCACTGCACTATGCTCCGTTCAACATGCCCATAAACCAATTTATGATTCTGTGGTTGATTTTAAACAAATGATTCTTATATTATTTCTTCCAAAACATGAATTAAATAGTAATTATCTACGAATACCTAATTCTATCTATCTTACTGTGACGTCAACCAATTAGTGTCCATTTACTTTTTCTTTTAAAGTTTTATGTTTCCGTTCGTTTCTGTCATTATTATCATTCACAATTTTACTGAAGTTACGCTGACAACAACATCAACTTACCCAAATCAAGTCATCGACTGAATATCTCACAAGTAGCGTAATTTCAGTGTATCTTTACATTATTATCTGTACGTTCATATGAACTGAAAACTGTACTGATTTGAGCAGATCTGAAGACCAAAGAAGGTATTCATTGAATTTTAATAAATGGCTACTTAAACTGTACTCGGGAGCAAAGAAACGGAGCCCCTAGGGTTTTCTTATTTTATCGAACCCTCAAAAACTTAAAAAAAAATAAATTATTAAATTCCTTTTACAACAAAATGTTCTCATTTTAAAGATACACTAAATTGCCTTTTGTACGACATTATGTTATCAAAAATATTTGTATCAGAAAATCGCTAAACGCTCCATTTAGGTATAAGATGAATTTATCTGACATAATGAAGAACCTTTGCAATAAATATTTACTATATTACCTTATTTCTTCAGTTGTGCTCAGATCAGTACAGAGAACATTAACATAAGTGCTAATATAACTGTCGGTCTGTCCGTCATACGATTGTCCCAGTCTGCTCACAGTAGCGTTGTACAAAGTATTGTAAGTAACAGTTGGAGGGCGCGCCCTATTGTTTACATGTTTGTTTTAATAAACTGTTGAAACTGCTCCGTCTTATGACTTGTAGTCCTAAGTAATGCCAAAATAATGCTTCCTATATATGTATGGGCTCTCATGCTCCAACTAAAATGCTGTCAGGATTTATGTTTCGTACTGTGTCACTGAGATAAGTTATTTATTTATTATCTTAAAGGTTTTTATAAAGACGATTGTATAAATGGTAGTCTTGTCTCAGTCACACATCGCGAATCGTAACTTCAGGGATTGCGTAGCTCAAGAGCCGTGTTACTCAGTTCCAATAAGGATGTGAGCACAGTGCAGCGGAGAGATGTTATTGGTCTACGTCCTACCGCTCCACCGCCCTGTGCTCCACCCCACTCTTGTTAACAATTCGTACATTAACATATAAGTGTCCAGACTCCTATTCTTGAATTATCTACTGAACTATCTCGCGGATGATGAAATTATGTTCTTATTTGTGGGTGATGGCACCTATCAAAATTATTGTAATGACACGCCGCACACGACGTATTTTTTTAATTTGTTTTAAGGTTAGAATTCTTTTATAATTGAAATTATCAGGCAGTCCAATGTCAACGTCTACTAATCCGTAGTAACCTCTGACAATAACTAAACAATGAACAAGACACCGGTCGCGTGGCATGTTGGTTGGCATTGGTCTGTCCCGTGTGTGCGGCGTGCCTGGCGTGCATGTGGAGTACTAACTGATGGTGGTTGTTCTGCGGACAGCGCGGCGGACGCGCGCCACGCGCTCGTGCGGCTGGCGACGTGTAAGTACCCGCTCCGTGCGCTTGCATGGCTTGGCCTGGCTCGGCTTGCTGCACTGCCACCGCTGATCCTCCACCTCTGTCAGCTGTGGCCAGTGCTACACACTCACGCTTCTTACTATCTCTATGTCTATCGATTGGTGATGGTTCATTTATGTTCGGTTACAAATTGTTGGCCCTCGGCCACTCGAAACTATGCCTCGACGTGGGAACCGCCACGCAAGGATACATTCGGAACGTCACTTGAAGCGACGTGTTGAGACGTAGAGGTCGCGTTAGCGGTGGTTCCCTAGTCGAGGGCGCCGGGGCTGACGGGCCGGTAGGGCTCCAAGTTCAGTAGTCACCGCGAGCTCTGTGTGGCAGCCTCACGGAGACGGCGCGGCTGCTGCAGAACGTTCGCAGCGTGTTCAGCCGGCGCTCCGCCACGCGCGCCACCATGGAGCTTGAGCTGTCGCGTGAGTACCTCCATGGAACCGACTCATGGACTGCTAATGCAGAGACATCTGACGAGCCCCCGAGAGCCTTGCCCTCGGCTCGAGTACATATTAGCATTCCATCAGTTTCCTACTCCGTGGCCACACCACGCACCGCTAACGCGTTAAACACACATAGAGACACTGTTTATTTACCGCAGACCTCTTGGAGGACTTGTCAAGGTATTCATTGATTTTATTTTCATAAGTTCTCAGTTCACACAGTTTGTGTTAACCTCACGAGTGTATAGTGACATCACGCTGATTCAGATAGAACCATTCAGTGTTCATTTTTACTGTTTTCTACACCACTAGTTTACAAATTCATATATCTTTTGATGATTTACTTGTCCCCGTGTGTACAAATGACTAACGTGTGCTTGTGTGTGATATAGACGGGTTCGCGTTTTCGCAAGAAGAAGGCGGCAGTGTGTCGCAGGCGGAGATGATCCGTGCTTACGATACGCGGCAGCCGCGGCCGCAGCAGTCGTGAGCGCGGCGCGCGCGCAGGGGTGGCTGGGCCGGCCGAGGCCCCGCGAGCGGGCCGGGCGGGGCGGGCTGGACGGGCCCCGCGAGCTGGCCGGTCGGGGCGGGCTGGACGGGCCCCACGGGGCCGCTGCGACCTCTACACCGTCTGCTAGTCCGCGGGCCGCGCCCCGCCGCCCACACACGTACAAACTCTTCTCACCCTCTCTCGGAAACAATATCACTGTTGTTGTTTTAGTTAGCGTCACAGACAAACAATATTGTTACAGATTCCTATTATTTATTGAAAATCACGATCATGACAAATGTTACGAGTATGTTGTATGTCTAGTGTTACCGTACTTACGTAGGACTGTGTGCATGCACCTCGTCTATATTACTATATTATATATTAATATAACTTATGTATACAACGTATAGTATAATGACTGTGGATGGTATACATCATCTCCAGTTTTTCTATCTATTTTGAATGTTTTACGAGTTTCGGTCACAGGGAATCATGATTTTAAAATCCTAGACCAAAAATTAGATTAAAGTCTTTTTAAAAATCTGTACTTTAAGTTGTAACTGAACGCGTTGCGGTTTACTTGTCGTGTTCTGGCGTCGGTCGCGGGGGCAGTGGCCGGGCTGGGCCGGGCTGGGCCAGACTGGACCGGACTGCGCGAGTGATGGGATCGTTCTCTTGTTTATTACTCTTGTATTGGATACAGTCTCAGAGCTACATCCATGCCTTTGATTACCAAAAGACTTGTTCATATAATTTCCGTGTAGGCAGCAACTAGATCCCTCTATATTGCATTCGTTACTAGTTTTGTTGTTAGGTAAGAAATAATTTATTTATTCAATATATTGCAATGTTGTTTCACATTAAATAGTTAGGGAAGTACCATAATAAATTAATAACTTTGTAAATTTTCATTTATTTTTGTATGTGCGGGGTCCTTTGACATTATCATTTTAATTCATATAAAAAGACTCGTAATATACTTTTAAAAGATTAAAGGAAATTTCGGTGATAGCGGCTACAATTATGAAGATTAAAATATATTTAATTGTCGTGTCGGGCCGAGTTAATTGTTGTCCAATCTATTATGTAATAATTACATTTTAAGTACAAGCGTAGGTAGACATGGAAGGGCCCCGGCTATTTACATTGATTTAGTTTACACGTGTAAAGCTGTAAGTACTCGATATTATTTTTGTATTCTTATTTCAGACAAAACATGGCCTATGTTCCGTTGTATCACATATTATGCATCTGCATTATATACTAGGGAGGTACAGTCGCGTGTACATAGTGTAACGCTGTACTGACGCGCTAGTGTTCAGCATTCAGTTTACAAAATGTTTAATGCTTACATGAGTGTACATATATACTATTATATAAATTATACACTTGTATGTACATGCTACGTCTAAATTGTGATGTCGCTTTGTTGAGTAGAAATGTATTAATTAGATAAATTATAACACGACTTATTGTTTCTTGGTGCATGACTCAAAATGCAAATCAAATTAAATATTTTTAAAATGAAATCGATAGTAAATAAATCGAATATTCTAACTTTGGAGCACCTTTGAATCTCGAAGCGTAATGTGCACTCGATATTTGATCACCCACATTGGCACGGAATTCATTAATTTGACATTACTTAATATCGTCTAGTCAGCCAATTTCTACAGTTTTTTGAACAAATTATATTAATCATAGCAGCTTTTTAAACTCCTTGTGTAATATACATAGATCGTTACACTCGCGTTTAACTTAATGGGGGAAATATTGCATTATGTTAGAAGGGGATGGCAACAGTGAGTACGCAGCGATACCCAACGGCAGTTTTGTTTAGAAGAAGGAATAAGAATTTGTTATATGTATATCTACCAGAAATTCTGGATTAAGATTGCATTGTGTTTCGTGAGATCTCCCCTCCCCAATGTATCCCCGAATCCCCAAGAATCTTCTTCCACCTCTTCCTCTTCTTATTTCTAACCCCCAAAAGGCCGAGAACGCACTTGTAACGCCTCTGGTGTTTCGAGTGTCCATGGGCGGCGCCGACTGCTTACCATCAGGTGGTCCGTCTGCTCGATTTCTGGCTTACCCAATAAAAAAAAAAGATTTCCCCCAGACGTTAAACACGGGTTCATTGTACAAGTAGTTTAATAATTGAACACTATTAATTAATTAAAGTAAAATAATTGTGATACGTACTGAATGAGGTGAACATTTTCAGACTCTTTACATGGTCGCTAGAATATATTTTAAACAAACTGATATTGTCGCGTACGGTTCATAACAGTTTATTATTGTTAACTGTTTAACGTTTAACTTTAAGTTATTTTAATGCGTGGGAGATGTGGGGTCGAGACAACTAGGGAGTGAACTCAAACACATTATAATGGGTATTAAAAGGTTTTTGTGATGTTGAAAATCTGTGAACAATACCCAAATATGAAGACAGTCTTATATATTCTATTCGCCATCCATTTATGCCTTCTGTTTAATTATAATTAAAAAAATTGGAAATACTAAGAATGTTATCAGCTTTACGTGTCTAAAATACATGCATACCTCGTTAAGTAGTGAATGTATTATTTAGTAAATACTGAAATCAAATGTATAGGATTCCATAACATAGTGCTTGTTAACGTTTTGTATTGATATTTATTGTATGTTAATTAATGAATTATTAAAGTTTTATCAAATAAAATCCAAAGGCCGTTCGTTGTTAATATAATAGTATATAGTGCTTTGTCTGTAAGATGACAAAAGTTTAAAATTATGGCTTGTGCGATATTGATTTTTATACCAGTTATAAAATATGTTCTTTCAGTGAAAGACACTTATATTGTTAGTTAAATTGTGGTTTAAATTATAAAAATATATGTATTATTCATTTTGTACTCGAATCCCAATTATTGTAGTCGAAAATTTTATTAAAGAGGTTTCCAAATATGGCAAAATAATGTAATGGTCTGATGATAATAATGTCGTCTAAGGCGGACCCTGTCACTGGGCACCACATCTCCTGCGCAGCCTGTTCTTGTGGATGTAACAGATAAAAAATATATAATTTGTTCTCGTTCTTTACGTTGATCGTTTTATTTTAAAAGTACCGAAGCTGACACAAGTCCCAATTCTTCCTTTTCTCTTAGACTTCTAAACTACTACATTGATTTTACTGAAACTTAATACGTAAGTATACGCAATATATCAAGTTATAAAAAGTTAATTATGAACATTTGCGAACAATTACATAAGTGAGCCGTTATACGTCTTTGTAATAGTTAGTCGACTGCCTACTGAACTACAAACCTCTAAACAAATGTCATACTAACCGAAAATTATAGAGGGCAGCACTGGCTCACCTTGCTACTTTCCCACTGTTTTTGTGGAGACAGGCTCTAGGGCAGAAACTAAAATTTGATAATGCGAATTAATTAATCTTTAAGGAAATGGGTATGACTACTCAAATCAAGTTTGGAAAGAATCCAAAATTCCTAGTAGAAATGATTAGAATCGATTTCTGTTATGCAAATGTCAAAAGAAGATAAAATCATTACGAGATATCATGGAGAGTGTTTTGTAATTATTTGCATTATCAGTTATACGTGTTCGCGACGCTTGCAACAGCGTTATTTATTGTATCTGAACCTAATCTTTATTTTGTAATACAATTTCAAAAGTTACGAAGAACTATAGGCACCTATCATAGGACTACAGAACCTGAGTGCTTACCGATTAGAAACAAAGTTAGTCTAGTAGTTACTTCCCACTCTGTGTAAAATACGTAAGGTTATGGAGGTACCTATGTGGTACCAAGACAGATTAGCTGTCCAACGTGCTTATTAGAGTTAGTAGCAGAAATTGTACCCCCTTGACACTCCCTCGTGGCCTCGTTGGCTGAGTGGACGCAAGTGCGACTGCCGGGCAAGGGGTCGGGTTTGATTCCCGGGTCGGGCAAAGTACTACTAGGTTTTTTAAAATAATCTCAGTAGTAGCACGTCTGGAATTGTGCCCGGTATATGGCAATAGGTTCACCACCTATTACATGGGACTTATAGGTAACATAAATAGTGATAAAGTGGGTGTTACGTTGTACAGTGTCATAATGTACACCTCTGCCTACCCCTTCAGGGATAAAAGCCGTGATGTTATGTTATGTCCCTTGTGGGTCTAGTGACTGCATTTATGACTGGCGGGATTTGGGTCTTGGGTTCAATTTCCAGGGCCAGATACCGTTAAACGTACGTAAAAAGACAAAAGAGGGTAAACAGATATTGGGAAACTCTGCAAAGTATTTATTCGCCTTTTGATCTCTATTCACCCCATTCTACTGTTAAGGTTAACATTGCTCTTTCCGAAAAATCAATTTTATTACGAGAAAGTTCGAAAGACGTTTAGAAATAAAGTGTTTTGAGAAATAAAAAGCCTGAAATTTCTTACGTGCTATAATAACAATAGGTATAAGTGCTACAAATAAATACAACGTCCTGAATACATAAATCACGAGAAAAGAAACAATTATCAAAGCCCTACATCATAAACAAGCACATAACATTACGCTACCTTAACAGTCAGATTTCCTAGAACTCCTTAGAAGTGGGTTACAAATTAAAACAAGTGTGTCCTACAGCTACGCTCGAGAATGCGTTTCTTTAATCTGCGAGGGAAATCTGTGCACGCGATCTATATACATACCTATAGTTGACACATCTACCTAGCCTGTAGCATGTTGCAACAATTCTATTACAGTCATAGATACTACCTACTTAGGTTTAAAGTCCTACTTCGGTATCGGTAGTTATTAAGTTTAGTACCTAATTCCTAAAAAAATAATTAAACCTAATAATAGTCCATTTACATGCAGATAAAGTGTTATCTGTACCTACGTAGAGTTTTGAAACAAAGTGAGAATTCATGGATTTTAAAAGAGTCAAATAATTGCACATTTGACTTATCATTGGAGGACCCCGCTAATAGATAACTATAATAGACAGTGGTGCTCAGTAGCCTCAATCATTATATACCTAAATCGATTAGGTAAGTCAATAGGAATCATACCTACTTAGCAAAACCACACTAAAGCAACGCTCTATGTATCCTACTATAACATCTGATCTAGGTAGGATCGACCTATATATGTCGCACCGCCTACACTCACTCTAGCTAGGAAGACAAAAGGATCATAAGTACTCGAGTAGGTGCCTACTACTGCCTAGGTGCACATGATGTCATACTTAATATCAATTACAGTGATTACTTCCCCCACGTAATCACAACTGGGTCAAATGAACTCTAATGACTACAATAAATCTCGATGAAGCAAAAAAAATGGATTAAAGAAACAGCGCAATCATAACCTCGTGTCATAGGGCAATCAGACAGGGTGGTTCTCCACCCTCGAGACTCGCGGATTCAGATTACAATCTTGTTGATTAGCACAACCATTACCTTCTGAAGTTTGGGTGTACCAGTTCTACGAGGAAAATATGCATATTTCAGTGTTGAAATGAAAAGAAAAATATTACATAAACGTAAGATTAATCACAACAATGTAAGTACTTTGAACCTTCGTCCTGAACTGCCACGAGTGCGGCCACTAAACAGCAAGAATGCTAGCCGACTTCATAAAGACTTAATTTGTAAAATTGTAATTAGAGTCCTGAATATCTACCAACTTGCAAGCTCATACAAATGACCATGGCTAGTCCAGGAGGTCAGTGCTCATGGCAACCCCCGTCGACCTTGGCAGGTACAACAAAGGTAAATATTTCGGTTCCCCACAAATATTCCACCAGTGCAGATTAAGCTAATTGCGTTCGTGAAGGCATTCGTTAACTGCTACTAATTTACTTAGCGCCGTAACATGACTTCATACTTCCACGAAAACAAACATTCTTTGATTCGGTAATTAACATTGAGAATAACTATCCAGCACCGAGTGTAGCCCAAAGGTTAAGTAAGATGCAGTCTCCGCCGTCCAAATGCAAGACTTGTACAGACTCATTATATGGGTGCACTGTGACTGCATAAAAGTCTAATAGCAATAGATATAGGTCGGCTATATTAAAAGTTGTGTATGTTCTGTCTGTGTGCAACACTTTGTCGATAATAATCTACCTTTTACTTTTTCATTGATCAGTTACAACCGCTAAAAGTGAATCAAGTGGAGGCGTCTATGAAACATTTTACATTATACTACGTCAAAAGGTGGCTGTGCCAAGTGTAGGTACCTATCCCTCAATGGCCAGTACCTACTGTGCAAATCAGGCAACTGAGACTTCTGCGATTGTCGGGAGTGCGTGCGGCGTGCGGTGACGTCAGGTGCAGGTGCGGCCGCGAGCCCGCTGCCGGCCGCCGCTTGGGCCACGCCGCAGTGCCGGCTCGGCGCGCCGCACCACAACACGCTCACTCAGTGCCTCGCAGTGCCTTCCACACGACACTCGTGCCTTACTACCTTACGTACCGACTCGCTCACTTCTCTACTATCGCAACTTTTCCTTTTAATCTCTCATAACTAGCTTGTACTTTGTGTGCATTGAAAGTACTCGTTCTCGTCGTGAGTTGTGATTTCGCGCGAAAAGTTGTTTACAAACAGTGCGTGCCGCGTCGAGCGCCGACTGCCGGCTGTTCACTGTGTCAGCTGTAGGTGTAGTGCTGTGGTATGTGTGTGCTCCATGTGAGTTAGGGGGCCGCACGGAGCCCCCGAGAGCACGCTGGCTGTGGACACCGAGATGGCGCGCTCGCCGCGGAGGATATCGGCACACCGGCGCAGCCGCAGCCGCAGCCGCGAGCTGTCCCGGCTGAGGACCCAACTCAATGGGAAAGGTAAGCCTGACTCTGTTTGTATACTTCGTTATCTCTTTGTTTGACAGAACATGATAATAGATTATTATCATAATAAAACAAGCAGGGTTCCCGCCAGTAAACACTATCAAGTACAATGAAATGTACTAAACATTGATACCATTGTATTTACCGCACAGTTATGCAGGTGTTGTGGCCGGTTAAAATTTCCATTCCACGTTTTTTGCGAGTTATATTTTTTACAATAATCAGACAGAAACACAACGATAATCTACTCTGGCTGGCACTATACTACTAACCCTACACGAAAACAATATGAGGACTTCAAATAACATTCTGTGCTACCTAGGTACCGGACAAAATTATGATTATGATATGATTCTGGTCTGGTGAAAATGAATTTGCATACAACTCGATTCGTACTTTCCTACATAACTACATCGCAAGATCTACCGGTGTAGCACTGTGACTAGTAACGGAACGTTATCGAAATATTGAGAGAAAATAAAATAATAGCCATTACTCGTATCCAAACAATTGTAACACAAAGTATGTGAGGGATCGTAAAAATTAATTGCTTCACACATTACTACCAGTTACTGCGAGTTAGCGACTTACTGATATAGTAACTGCGGTCCAATGACACGTGTAACTCTAACCTTGGGAGTAAACCGACAGATCTCAAATCTCAATGAATTGTCGGCGCATTCGTGAATCGCGACATATTCATGACATTCATTGGAAACTCATCCATCAATGCGACTAGCGGACAGGTTTCTACACACTAACACAGAATCACTAGTGTCTGTCTGTACCTACATTATATTGTACTGAGTATGGCTCCACGTAGTGGTGTGGTCTGTCCAAACCGGCTCAGGTCTCAGCTTTGTAATAATACTGCCTATCTCGACATTCTACAGGTTGTTCCCAACCTAAACATAATATTAATAAATACACGTCGTTCGTACGAAATTGCTTGAGTTTTAACAGAACGTCTCTATTTGCTAGCTCTTTCAGTAGGTATTGTATTTATTTATTAGGATTTTAAGTGTGATAAATGAGTATCTACTAATATTAAGAAGTTCCTTTTAGCAATAGTTTCTCTTACAAAATACAAAGGCATTAATTAAGTGATTCCTATTTAGTTAGTAGCACAGAATTTTAAGTATTTTTAGTTGCCTACACTCCTATCAACTTAAACTAGACACGAATAACAAGGCATAAATTTAAAGTGATACATTAAGGAACAGTTAGGTGCCCACGTGATTAATGACTGGAGT